GCCCAGCTCCGCCTGGCTCTCCTGCTCTCCCTCGCTCTTCCTGCCTCTATGCCTCTCACCACCCCCATCTCTGCCTCTTCTCTCCTGGGCTCTCGCTCTGTCCTCCCTCCTCTGTGTCTCTGGACCCCCGCTCCAGCCAGACCTGGTTCACATTCAGATGGCTGCAAAGGTACTTCTGCCCCGCCCTGCCCCCACCTCCTCCTCCCTCCTCTCCCCCTCCTCTTCCTCATGGGGCCACCAGCTTAGAAGCGCCCTGGGCACTGGGGCGCTGCCACCCCGGCCTCCTCCAGCAGGGTTCACTGTGTGACTTTGGGCAAGTCCCAGCCCCCTCTGGCCTCAGTTTCCCCCTGCGGATGGGCAGTCTGCAGGAGGAGGCCCGCAGTTTTTAGCCGAGGAGCCTTTAGGTGTGCCCCATGATTGATGACAGGCACGTGTTGCTGTAGCGGCAGAGTCGGGGCCTGGACCGTCCCTGGGCCCTTCCCTCCACTCAGGTCTCACCCGCTCCCCGCAGGGCACCCGAATTTCGAGGCTTGGGGAGACTTTGTGGGTATAATTTGCCTCTGTCTCAGGCAGGACTCTTCTCTCCTGTTACAACCTTGCTTGCCCCCAGAGACAGGGAGCACCCTCCCTCACTCCCAAGGCAGCCCTTGGCATCTCGAGATGTCTTGGTACATCTGAAAGCAAGCAGAGGACTTCCCGTCCCAGGACTCTGCCCCTGTGGATTCGGGCCCCAGGCTGGCCAAGGTCAGTCTGGCCACAGTCCTAGACAAAGCCCGTCGGATCCAGCCTTGGCAAGGAGGCGTCTGGGCCAGGGAGGGGAGAAGGTCCAGGCCAGCTGGACCCAGCATGCTGCGGGAACTCGTGCTGGCCCTGCTTCCCCTGGCCTCCTGCGGCCTCAAGGCCCGAGCACAGCTCCTGGGGAGACTGTAGGCCCCAGGTGCACTGCTGATGGCCCCTTCTCCCGGCCCTCCTTCTCTCCCGCTCAGAGAGGGAGACTGGTGGCTGGCCCACTCGCTCAGCACGGGACAGACGGGATACATCCCCAGCAATTACGTGGCGCCCTCTGACTCCATCCAGGCTGAGGAGTGAGTATGGTCGGGCTGCCTGTCTGCTCGCCATCGTGGCCGCTGCAGAGTGTCTTTCCCAGGCTGGGGTGGGAGGCCTGACGGCCCAGGGCCCCAGCCACAAGCAGGGAGAGGTGCCATGGCGGGCAGAAGCCCGGGCCGCCAACGCCACCCTCACGCCTCCCGCCCCCAGGTGGTACTTTGGCAAGATCACCCGGCGGGAGTCGGAGCGGCTGCTGCTCAATGCGGAGAACCCAAGAGGAACCTTCCTAGTGCGAGAAAGTGAGACCACGAAAGGTACGAGCACTCCTGCTGGCCAGTGGAAACTGAGTCTTTTGTAGGCGGTCCGAGCTGGGTTTTGCAGAATGAATACGAGTCTGGTACATGGAGTCAGGAAGGAAGAGCCCTCCGGGTGGTGGAAACGGCAGGTTCAAAGTCAGGAGGTACATCTGAGGAGCCCTGAGCAATCTGGGTGGCCAGAGGGGCAGCAACAGATGAGGCTTAGCCTCTTTGGCCTCAGTGACCTCAGATGAGAAATGGGCACAGGCTGCCAGGAGGTCTGAGCACCACACAGCAAAAGGCTTGTTCCCAGGCTAGGTGCTGGCACAATGGGCCCTTCTCCCCTTCCCAGGGGGTCTCTGGGGCTGCACTGGGTGCCAGGGCCTGGCTTTCCTGCCCTTGTGCCTCTCCTGTCCCTCTCCCCAGCCAGAGAATGAAGATCACCCCCTTTGTCTGCAGTGGGCTGCAGGTGCCCCGTCACCATGGCAACCAAGCCGGGCTGCTTCCTGTGGGCCTGGGGCTCAGCAGGCGATGGGAAGGCGGCGTGTCTGTGGTCCGTGCCATATGTGTGCGTTTATGAGTTGTGTGGCTGTGTGCACGTGTGCACGCTGTGTGGAGGTCTGGGTGTGTGTGCATGTGGGGTGGGGTCATCCGTGTGTTGCTGTGTGGGAGTGGATTGCTGTGGTTTGTCCAGGGGCCTGGGGAGCGTGTACCAGGTGAGCCTGTGGCCGCTGGGCACAGCATGCGTGCGTGTGTGCTCAGGTGGCCAGGACTGGCTTTAGTTTCAGCCCAGGCTTCTGCATGCATCAACCTGGTTTTCTGTAGAAAATCTCCTTGCCCAGTGCAGGCTTGAGAGTACTCGGTGTGGCTTCAAGTCCCAGTTTGTGTCAGACTTGCTGGGTGACCACAAGCTAGCCATTCTCTGGGCCCCGTTTTCCCTTCTGTACCTGGGATGGTAACCTCTGCTGGAGGACCGTCTGGGGGAGGTCCAAGGGCCAAGGGCTGGGCTTCCATCCTGACGCCTGTGTACTGCTTGGCCAGGCACCTGAGAAGGCCTCCGGCAGCCACAGCCACATCCCTGCCTCTGGGGCGCAGCTTTGTTCCCCGCTGCCTCCCCAGGCGTCTTGAGCTCAGGCAAACAGGGGCTCCTGCCCAGGCCTGCAGGGCATGAGGAGCCTTTTCCAGCCCAAAGCTTTTCTAGGCTCAAGGGAAACCTCTGGGGCTGGCCCAACTTGACCTTGGCGGCCTTTAGGCCACGCCCAGCATCCGGTCTCCAGCCAAAGCCTCCACCCCCCCACCTGAGCCTGGGCCTGTCATCAGGAAGGGGTGGACATGGGCAGATACAGAGAGGAAAAGCAGTCAGGCCCAGGACACACAGCCACATGAGTTCGTTCCCAGGCTCCCAGAAATCATTTATTGAGTGCCTGCTATGTGCCAGACCCTCTTATACGTGGTCTAATTGACGAATCCCAGCATCCCTGGGAGTACTTCCATTGTGTCGAGGAGGAAACTGAGGCTCAGAGAGGGCAAGCTGCCTGTTGGGGTCACGCAGTGGGATGCACACCCAGGACTCAGAGGCCTTGTCAGGGAAAAGGGTGCAAGGCAGGATGCTCCCTCCGGTCAGGTGTCCCTGTGTCCACTCAGCCCGGCCTCTGGCGGCTGCTCCGTGCTGGGGCCTGTGGGGGCAACAGGTACAGTCCCAGCGCCCTGTGGCCCACCTGCAGGTGCCTACTGCCTCTCCGTGTCTGACTTTGACAACGCCAAGGGCCTCAATGTGAAGCACTACAAGATCCGCAAGCTGGACAGTGGCGGCTTCTACATTACCTCCCGCACGCAGTTCAACAGCCTGCCTCAGCTGGTGGCCTACTACTCCAGTGAGTGTGTGTGGGGGCGGGGGTGGCGCGCTGGGCCAGGCCCTGGG